GAGCGCCCCGAGACAGCTCAAGAAGGTTCCAGTACGGCCCAAGGGAGATCCAAGAGGACCCCAAGTCGGCTCCGCGGGGGCTCTCTGGCGGCCACCAAGGCCGTCAGGAAGCCTTCCAAACGATCAAGAGGACATCCCAGTACAAGCTCAGAAGACGCCAGGCGGCCCAATCGCGCCCTCAGACGGCCCACGGAGCCTCGACGAACCCCCGAGGCACCCCCACGGCATTGCCAGGAGGCCCCGACAGGGCCACAAGACGCCCCAAAGAAGCCACCCAAGGGCCGACAGTGCTTTCAAGAGGCCCGCGGTGCCACGCGCGACGCCCCCCCCCCCGTGCACTCTCGCACAACCGCAACCGAGAATTCTAGGCTGGCACGGCGGCGGGGCTCGCCGTAGGCCGCTGGAAACTTTTTCATCAATGTGTATTGTTCCGACCTCGCAGCTCGCACGATCCGCTCCGATGCTGGGTTCGACCTGTGGCCGTCGCAGTCTACCACGCGAGTGAAGGACTGTGCACAACGGTCGCTCATTGATGCCTCTACGTTTTCCAACAATGCCTGGGCCTGACACTTAGCGCTTGTTGTGGCGATGGCCTGAGCGCAACCTGCTTCTTCACCCGTGATGAACATATACTGTGTCTTGTCTGGCGTCGAAGCTTTCACTAACAATACCCAACGGCCCCTACTATAGAAAATCTTCGTGGTATTCTTTGACGAATCTTTGAACTTCAATCCCATGAGCGCCAACGCATTCCGTACTGGTTGCAACGGTTGGCTGACGGGGCGAACACGAACAAGTGCGTTGCTGCCACTACGATGGGTTAACACGAGTGGTGTCTCGTCGTAAGTCACATGCTCGATCGAATGTAAAATCTCAACCTTTAGGGAATCGTTCCTGCACTGGGCGCGGGCCACCACTCTGCCAACCGAAGATCTCACCCATCGGTCTGACAGCCAAGCCAACGCAGCAATACGACCCGTGTGACGCTGGAACGTGGGCCGCGTTTGGTCGAGCTCTGCTGCCCGCTCCTCGAGCGTTGCCCTGCGGCTCACTCTGGAATCCCAGCCCAACACCGAGCCTACCACAGGAAACGGCACGCACTTGTTCTTTTCTGCAATAGCGAGCAACAGCGAGAACGATTCAAAGATCTGTGACGGCATCCTGAAAGAACGCTGCGCGTCTGACAATACTGCATGTTGTGCCACCACCAACGTACCTGCGTGAGGGTCTCCCTGGATATCCCGCTTCATGTTTTTCCGACGTTGAGCATCAGACGGAACCAGTGGAAGCGACCCATCGTCTGACATGTTCAGTGTAAGTGGTGGGCATACACACGCACATACACGGGCTGGGCTCTGCCAGCTGCGCCAAAATGGCTGCTAAACGTGCTGCGACGTGGGAGGGCACAGCAAGTCAAAGCAATGCAACACACACAGCTTGGCCAACGCAGTGCAATGCAATGCATGTGCACAAGTTTTGCGCGTCAGCAACGCAAAACAACACAATTCCCTTATCCACAGAGATCCAACATGCAATGTGAGCAACGCGTCGGAATGCAATGGCATTCAGTGCAGCGGATGCTTGGGGTCGGTTTTTCAAGGCGCACGGTTTCTGTTAGACTGGGGGGCGACGCGGGGGTCAGTCGCGCATACGCTGATACAAACAAAAAAAAAAAAACGCAAAAAAAAACAACAAAGCCCACGACATTTGTTCAGACATTTTTTGGCTATTTTATGTTGTGCAAGACGTGGGTAGGCTTAAGGGCCCCTGGGGACATTTGGTGTGTTTTCCAAGATCCCGCAGTCTAGCGGCCACGTGCACCACGGCAGTAAGGCCCCCATTGATAAACAAAACTCGGAATCCAAAATCGAATCGAACCGGAATCGGAATCGATGGAAATCGAATCGACTCGGGTCGGACAGATCGAAGTGAACCCTGGATGGGGAAGTCCCTGAAGGGGAAGGGGGGAAGAAACGTCGATCTGGAACCGGCGACACGTCGCCGACAGATCGGCGATGAGCTCTGTCGATAACGAAATCGCGCGTTCCCGGGCCAGCGTGGGCCATCAGGCTCCTTCCTCAGCTGCCCCGATACGCAACACGCAACACGTAGCGCATTGATACGGACCTCAACACGTCGACGGAACACGTACGCCTTGAACACGGACGTTTTGAGCACGGCACGTGTTACGTTTCAAAACGTGCGTACCAGGGCAGCTAAGGGCCCCTTCTTATCGGAAATTCATGGGCGATTGGGAGGGCGACGCATCCCCCCCCTCCTCCTCCTTTTCCTCCTCCTACTCCTCCTCCCCCTCCTCCTACTCCTCCTCCTCCTGCTCCTCCTGCTCCTCCTCCTCCTCCGCCTCCTCCTCCTCCTCCTCCTCCTCCTCCTCCTCCTCCTCGCTCGCTACCTGAGGGCAATAGGGGTCCGAAGCCCTTACTTCAATGAGATAGAGGAAGGCGAAGACAGCACCCCCAAATATGCACATGCAGAAGAGAAGGACGGAGGGGTGAAACGAAGAGCGTAGGCGCTGTTTCTCACCATTCTGAACGACGCCTGAGCCAGGACACGGGACGCAACACCATAGGCCGCCGCGGCGAGTCTTCCAGGGTCCCTCTTCCTGACCCCACTGCGTCCACAACTGCGCGAGCACCTCCCTGAACAAATCGCAGGCTGGAAGGGAGCAAGGGAGACACCAGGAGCAACAATGATGAGAGTGGGAAGGAGATGAGGTGAGGCGAAGGTGCACAAATCGACATCGCAATGCTGAGCTCCTGGGGCCTGAATAAGGCGCATCACATCTGGCAGCTCACGTACGTATGGAAACTCATTGTCTCTGGGAATGGGCAAGACGAGAACAAAAGGCTCACTTCAATGCAAGCAAGCACAGGCGAGCTCAACGAATAGTTGCAGCTGGTTGTTCTGGTGAACTATCCTCTCGCTGTCCATCTGCGGCAGTCCCCTTGCATACCACGGCGCCCTTCGAGCGCGAGCCTGCCCAGCCTCTCGGGCGGGTCGCCACGGCACACATGCGGCTCAAAGAGTGCCCCTGTGACCTGCCCTGACTCAATCCTCCCCAAGACCTCCTCCACCTCCTCAACCTCCAACGGGATATGGGCGAAAGCACAGGGGAGCAGGGAAGAGGAGGGAGAACGGGCAGCAGCGTTCAAGAGAGCTCTTTCGAGCCGTCCCTCCACAGTCCTGGGGCGCCCCCAATTGCATAGCTCAGCGCTGCCACGCAACAAACCCTCGACGGAACCCAGACCGTAGCATAGTCGCCGTAGGGGGCCTCGCTCGCCACCCTCGGCAACGCCACAGGCGGGGCAGGTCGAGCTCTCGCAAGTATCCTGAAGGGGGTCCAAACGTCCGCTGAGCAGGTATGTCCGCAAAGGTGTCCCCCTTTACCTTTTTTCTATTGGCCCCAACCAGAAGCTTCCGATGTTCAACCGTTTCTTCGGGCTCCTGCTGGGCTGGCCTTAAAGGGGATGCAGTCCAAGTAGAGAAGCAAGACTGAGCTCTGTGCAATTGAATCAGCAGCCTGTTCTCATCCCAAAATTGCCAACAGCAAATAGGGCACATGGTTCCCGTCGCCACGGGCTCTTGGGTCTCAAGGGGGCTTCGCACTTTCTTGAAATGAATTCTCAACAGCTTGGCACTCTGAGCAACGTGCCCGCACTCATAACACGAGAATCCTGCAGCCGACGGGGGTGGCGGTGTCGACACAGCCTCGACATCATCGCCTTGCTGCTCGTTCTGGGCCCCCATTAGCTGTCTGGATGGACCGCCCAGAGGTGCGCGCACAACGGCGAGAGCATGAGAGTTACCTGCCGATGGGCGGTCGGCAACGCCCCTCGGTGTTCCGGCACGGTCCTGGCACAAGCCCCCGCTGTGAGGGTGGCCTGTCTGCGAAAAAATTGAAATGTCGTCGTCCCTGCGGCTTCGTATTAAAATATCATGAAAACTCATTGCAAGGCCAACTCTCCTCTACTTGGTTAACAATTGCTTTCTCCAAACTGGAGCCATTCCGTTTGCCTTCCATAAACGTTTAACCCCCGCTGCTGATTGAGTGACCATGAATAGAAATTCGAGAACGGGCGATTTGGGGGCGGCGGTCTGGGGGGCCGATGCGCGGCGCGATTGGCTTCCGAGGCGCGCGTTGCAGCGCGGGCGGGGGCGAGAGGGGGAGGGCCCGGTAGATCGAGGGGGGGCGTGAGAGAGGGGGGGGAGGGGGAGGGAGGGAGTGTGGGAGAGAGAGAGAGAGAGAGAGAGAGAGAAAGAGAGAGAGAGAGAGAGAGAGAAATAAAGAAAGAAAGCAAGCAATAAATAAAGAGAGAAGAGAGAGAGAGAGAGAGAGAGAGAGAGAGAGCGAGAGAGAGAGAGAGACAGACAAAATATACATAGAAGAGAGAGAGAGAGAGAGACAGAGAGCCAGAGAGAGTGAGAGAGTGAGAGAGAGAGAGAAAGAGAGAAAGAGAGAAAGAGAGAGGGAGATAAAAAGAGAGAGAGAGAGAGGGGGGGGGAGGGGGGGGGGGAACGGAGCGGCGCGGAAGGGGGGCGGGGAGAGGGAGGGAGCGGGAGAGGGAGGAAAGGGCGAGAGGCGAGAACGCCCCCCCTACCGCCCGCGACGCCGCCTGGGGGGGCGGGAGCAGAGAAAAACAAAACAAAAACAAGACAAAAAATCGGCCAGACCCGCGACACGACACCGGTGCCGGAGTGGGCTGGAAGAGGCCGCGCTGGAACTCCTGCGGGCTGAGGCCCATCTTCTCCGCGGGCACTGGCGTAAGGCAGCCTCCGATCGGTGTCTTTCCCACTGGCGTGGTAGGGTGCGGCGAAGGCTGCGCTGCGGGAACGGTGTTCGGCGTATGGGGGCCGCTCCCATCCCCCAACTGAAAAGGCGCTGACCCTCCCGAAGCCGATCCCGTTCCTGACACGAACCCCTGGTCCCCCGTCGCTGTCGTAGCCGATGTGACTGATCCCGTGCCCACTGGAATCTGGCGGGCCTCCGCGGGCGTCTGTTGAGGCTGCTGCGGCTGCATCCCCATGGGCATATGTTGCTGTGTCTGCTGCTGCTGGGCCTGCTGCGCCTGGAAGGCGTGCACCACTTGGCCGAGGACCTTTTCCGATTCGTTCTGTCTGCTGGCTAACCCTATCAGTAGCCCTCGCAACTCCATGAACGGGTCCTGCTGTGCGTAGAACTGCTGCTGCTGCTGCTGTGGCTGCTGCGCCTCCTGGGGCACTCGCTGAGCAGCTGGCTGCAGGATGGCTTGCTTTGGCACCTGCTGTGGCGCCTGCGGCGGCGGCCGCGGCGGCTGTCCATACAACTGCTGCGGCAGCTGCGGCAGCTGCGGCAGCTGCGGCGGCTGCCCAAGCTACCGGGCGCGGGCGGGCGCGTGGCCTGGCACAGGCGCCCCGACTGGCGGCTCAGGCGGTGGTCCGCCTGCTGGCGGCCCTGACGGCGATCCGAGATGTATCTGCTGGAACTGCATCGCCACATCGTCTTCGGCAATGAGCTCCTCGAGCTCCTGAATACGCATCTTCAGCTGGGCTACGTCGTTCGTGTTCTCCGTCTCCTGGATCTCCAGATTCTTGATTCTGGCCTGTGTCCCCCTCAGGCGCTCGACGGCACGATCGAGCTTGTCCTTGTATTCTCCCAGCAGCTGCCTGACTGGCATCGTGTCCTGCATCATGCACTTGTGGATTGCGATATTTATGTCGTGGTTCTCTGCGAGTTGGATATCCCTCGCACGCCTCGCCGTCATGGCAAGGTACGCAAGGTCGTGTATCTGCCTCTTGGTCTCCATACAGAAGGCATGCTGGTCGCCCTCGGGAAGGGCCTTGTAGCACGGGTCCGGAATTGCTTCCTCCTTGGTCACGGGAGCCACTTTCGCGAGGTATGCCTTGACGTCCTTGTCGCTGAACGTCGGCGCTGGCTGACGCTGTCGACTGGACGGCCTCGTCTGATGGCGCGATTGTCTTCCGTCTTGGCGGGACGGCCCCTGCTGCGGTGTGTAGTGCTTGCCGCAAAAGCAATGCCAGAGCCCTTTTGACATAGCGACCACATCGTCCGCAGTCCCACGCTGGTATGTTCCATGCCATCACAATGTGTTCTGATCGCGTTGATGGTTGATTCTGAGCAGAATGATGAGACTGCAGCAATAGATAAATCAGCCTGATGCTATCTTACGAGCGCTCGTGCTCGTGACCTCTGTTCTGTTGCCCTGCGGTAACGAGCTCCCTCCACTGGCCTCGTCGTGGCCAGCCTAAGAAGCAGCTGCTATCGCAGGCGGCAAGCAGTCGAGGTTCGCAGGGGCGAGCACGACGGGGTTCGGCCGAGCAAAATCCCCTGTGCTCTGGCCAAACCCTCTCCTCCTCCTCCTCCTCCTCCTCCCTTCCTCCTCCTCCTCTTCCTCCTCCTCCTCCTCCTCCTCCTTCTCTTCCTCCTCCTCCTCCTCCTCCTCCTCCTCCTCCTCCTCCTCCTCCTCCTCCTCCTCCTCCTCCTCCTCGAGCCACTCACCGCCCAAAAATTGCCCCTGGCCGCCACGAGCGCAGCGCGTCGGGCACCCCGTGCAGCCGCTGGGGCAGCTCGTCCTCCCCCAGGCATCCGGGAAAGTGATGTGCTCCATCCTGGCTCATCCTCCCTGCACGGTTTCCCCCGGGGCCGTACGCGACTCGAGGAGGAGGAGAAGGAGGAGGAGGAGGAGGGGGAGGAGGAGATGGAGGAGGGGGAGGGAGGAGGAGGAGGGAGAGGAAGAGGAGGAGGAGGAGGAGGAGGAGGAGGAGGAAGGAGGAGGACGAGGAGGAGGAGGAGGGGAAGGGGGGGGGGGAGGAGGGAGGAGGAGGAGGAGGGAGGAGGAGGAGGAGGAGGGAGGAGGAGGAGGAGGAGGAGGAGGAAAGGGGGGGGCGGGGAGGAGGAGGGAGGAGGAGGAGGAGGAGGAGGAGGAGGAGGGGTCGCCTAAGCCCTTCGGGGAAACCCTCCAATCTTCCCTCTGCTCCGGACTGCGGAGGCGGGGCTCCAGGCCCTGGGAGCATCAAAAGCGGATCCGGGACTGGAGTGCCCCCAGGGAACTTGGACAAGTGCGCTCCACTGCTCGCAAGGTACCTGCTCGCAGATGGCCTGGATCCGCCGCGGGGGATGTACGACCCATGGCATCGAGGCACACGTGTGTTTTGTTTGGACGTTTGCGACTAGGCACTCGACGCGCTCGGTGAGAACTGGTCGAGACCTGCGGGGACCACGGATCGGGAAGTCGGCTACACGCAAGAGCGACCCTGGGTAAGAGAGACCTCTGGTGCGCGGCTTAGCGGGGACCGCTGGGGGGGGGCCAAACACAGGCGCAGAAGTCGCAGCTATCGCCTCGCACTCGGCGAAGTTCGGCGATTGGGGGGCCCCATTATTGGGCCCGCACCAAAGGGCACTCCAGCCAAAGGTCACTCTTGCGTGTAGCCGAGGAAACACACCTCGCCGGATGCCTGGACCCCCCGAGCCTCCGACGCCGTGGCCCTTCCACAGGGTGGGCCCCGCCAGAGCGACGACGACGACGACGACGACGACGACGACAGCGACGACAGCGACGACGACAGCGACGACGACGACGACGACAACAGCGACGACAGCGACGACAGCGACGACAGCGACGACAGCGACGACAGCGACGGCACCGATGACGGCGACGAGGACGACGACGACAGCGACGGCACCGATGACGGCGACGAGGACGACGACGACGACGACGACGACGACGACGACGGTGACGAGGACGACGACGAGGACGACGGCGACGAGGACGAGGGCCGGGCCCTCCTCCCTCGACCGGGGGCAGCACAGCAGATCCCCCGGCGGCGAGCGAGGCAGCGCACCCCGCCCCAGGGGCGCTCGTGGGCCGCAGCACGGCTCCTCCCCAGGCCCCCCTCGCGCTGTGCAGCCACAGGGCAGTTTTTTTAACACATGGGATTCTTTTAATATATATATATATATATATATATATATATATATATATATATACATATACGGGATTTTTCATACATGACTACTTTATGGATAAATGTATGCGAGAACTCATCGCTGTTTTTTATACTACATCCCCGCATGTTTCATACAGGATCCGCACGCGGAGCATGTACTAAAAACGGCACTGTAGCACCACGGGAGGGCTGGCGCCGCCTTCGGCCCCTCGGGGCCCTTCCTAACCCGGGCCTGGGACCGCTCCAGAAGCGACTCGGGATGACCAACGGGTCCTGCGGAGCGGGTCGAGACCTCGAGGAGACCAGCTCAGGGAGACCGGCTCAGGGAGAGACGCGTCAGCCCCCCGACCCCCCCCTCGGCGGCGAGCGGGGGGGTGGGGGAAAGGACAGAGAGCAGGCCCTCCCGGAGTGGCGGCGGGGCTTCTCGAAAGCACTTTGGCCTTCTGAGAAGTCTGCTGCGTCGCCCAGGAAGGCTCAGGAAACCTCTCGGATGGCCCGAGGCCTTCCAAGCCTTCTGGGAAGGCCTCCGCCTTCTCACTTCCCTCCCCCCCCTTGCCGCCGACCACCCCCGCTCCCAGCCAGGACCCCCACTCCCGACCTGGTGACACAGAGAGTCCTAGCTGGCGGTGTGGGTGGCTTCTTGGTGCTCTGGGGGGGCCAAGAAAAGCCAGCCCCACCCCGTGAAACCGAGCCGCCCTCAATCCGTGAAACCGAGCCGCCCTCAATCCGTGAAACTCGCGCACATTCTTTATAACGGGGCCAAGGCGACAGCTAGATTTTCAAACCGAGCCGCATTCAATCCGTAAGACTCGTGCACATTGTGATGGCGAATGCGCGCAGCGCTAAGGCGAGAGCTCCGGCCAGGACCCCCTGGAGCACCAGGTCCGGAGAGGCGGTCCTGGCTGGGGGTGGAGGTGGGTTGCGCTGTCCTCCCTCGAAGCCACCGCCCACAGGGCTCTCTGGGAACGCGTCCTGGTCAGGGCGTCGTGGCGGGTGCAGCCGTGGCCACGGAGGGTCGGAAAGGCCGAAAGAGGCCCCTGGAACGTGTGCCCCCCGCCCTGGAGACGCTGGATCCAAAAGGCTGGCATCCCTGAATGGGGACCACTTTCATTTCCGCCAGGCGAGATGCCCTCATTCTACTGCCGCATTCCGCCAGATTCCGCCGAGGGCGAGAGGCCAGCTGTGCACAGATGTAGAGATGCACGGATGTGCACAGCCGTATACACATATCTGAGCTCACGCATGCATACATACATGCAGACAGACAGACACACAGAGAGGCAGGCAGACAGACAGGCAGGCAGGCAGGCAGAGAGACAAACAGGCACACACGCACAGACATACATACATACATACATACATACATACATACATACATACAGACAGACAGACAGACAGACAGACAGACAGACAGAGAAACATATTGACATACATACATACACACACAGACAGACAGACAGACAGACAGACAGACAGACAGACAGACAGACAGACAGACAGACAGACAGACAGACAGACAGACGCACATACATACACACACGCATACATACATACATGCATGCATGCATCCACACATACATCGATATATACACACATACATTCATACACACATGCCTACCTACATACAGACAGACAGACGTACATACAAACACACATGCATCCATGCATGCGCATACATACATACATGCATACATGCACACAGGCATACCTAGATACGCACTACATACGAACATACGTGCATACGTACGTACAGACACAGATACACACAGATAAGCATACATAGATGCAGACAGACAGACATACATACAGACAGGCATACCTAAATGCATGCATGCATAAATACATTTGAAAGCATGCCTGCACAAGTACATACATACATGCGTACGCACGTACTTATGTGCATAAGGACATACACACAAACATACATATATGTACGCATGCATCCATCACGCATGCATAAAACCTACATATACACGTGCGCACACGACAACATCGTACGTACACATACACATGCGCATACACACATACACATGGACACACAAGCACGCACACCTAAACGTACACATACACATGCATATGAATATACACGTGCACCCACACATGCACATACACATACACCTACACCTAAACCTACACCTAATTCTACACATACACATGTATACACATACACCTGCACGTAGGCATGCAAATACATTAGCCTAGACATCGTTATCCATACATGCTTATGCACGCACATATGTAACATTAAACATGCCCTGTCGTAGACACATACATGCAAAGGTACATACGGATGCACAAACACCCATACATATACATGTGTGTATGCATGTACCTGAACGCATAAAACTTCATATGTATGTAAACTCACATCCAGTTACGCATAGACCTTATAATGTGCATATACACGTGTGAACTTCTCCCCATATACAGATGTACGCACGTACACCTACACATATATATATATATATATACATACAGGACAATGCACACGTACACATGTATACATATGTATGTCTGCAAAAACGTAGAAAATGTGCATATACGCATGCATACGCATAGACATGTACAGGAATCGATGTACACATACATGCAACATGTGAACATAGTTGTAGATGTCTATGTGTGCGTGCGCGTGTGTGCAGATCTGAATGGATACACATTCACTGCGAGAGAAAGAGAGAGAGAGAGAGAGAGAAAAAGGAAGAAAGAAAGCAGCAAAAACACGATGAACGCAAACAAACAACAACACCCCCTCCCTCCCTCCCTAATCAAAAAAAGAAAGGAAAGGAGAAGAGAGGAGAAAGAGAGAGAGAGAGGAAATAGACAAACAAGAAAACAAAACTGTGTATTGACAGGGCGCCCAGCCAGAATTTAGAGTCGGATCCAGCCGTTGCCACGAAGGTGCCCCAGCAGGTCCAAAAAGGTCTAAAAAAGGTCTTGCCACTTCTGGGCACCAGCCAGCAA